CATCCCTCTTCAATATATGCACTATAGAAGCTGCCCAATCGGAATTCTGAACGACTTCTATCGTGCCCTCTCATTGTAATCGGCGGAGACCAAGCTCAATATTGTCCTGAAGCGCGTAAGGTAAGCTACGAGCTTGCTAGAAGTGAGGCACTGCCAGTGGATTCAGTGTCAAATATGCCAAGTACTTCTTCAACAACCAGTGCTTAATTTGCTCAAACAAGGCTGCATATTTTTGCAAAATTCCGGAAAGTTGTGGACGAGCATCCACAAGGTTCACGTTTGACATGAGAACAGGAAGACGTTTACTCCCATCGCGATCAAGTATGTTATGGCCGGGTCCCACAGAAACGTACACTCGGATGTTATCCGTCGAGTTGTCGTAAGAGATGCGTGTAAGAAAAGTACCCCAATTCATTCATCAATTGTCCAGTGTAAGATGACAGTTGTATTGCAGGGTGATATAATTTTAGCCGTTGCGATAGGGAATATGGCCGTATCAACGTAACCGCAGAGCCGGTATCAATTTCGATAAATACTGGTTGCTCGTTAACTTTGGTAGATAAGACAAATGGTTATCCTGCGCTGATATTTTGTTTGAAAACGATCGTGGTATTTATCCACTTTTGGTTTAACTAGTCGGTGATCTGATGTGTAGTTTAAGGTTTCCCTATGCAACGGAATTTCTTTTAGAAAGACACATTCTAGATCTGCTTTTTCTTCCCACAAGAGCTGTAGATCAATTAATAATGCTGACAACCAGCCGGTGTTGAATGCTGTTAACCACAGCGTAAACAAAGGAATTCTTTGCGCTGTCCGGAGTGTGACATTGTGTTACCAGTTTTAGTCTGAGGAAATTTATGTATATCTTGCGCAATTGTCAGATTAGGAAAAGAGAATGCCCTTAATTCCTGAACGAGACTGGCATGTTGTCGAACTGTGACAGGCTCTTTCCAAAGTCAAGTTCTTTTCATCTTCCGATAACAGGGGCTTTCGTGCCTCCTCCTCAAAACTCCAACACTTAAAGCTTGTACAAGTATTGCTTCCACGAATTGGGATGGTTTGATCTGGTTATAGGCACAATCAGGAAGAGCAGTAGGGAGTCGGGGAATAAGTCCACCTACAGTTTCCTTTGCTGCTGCCGCATAGTGTTACATTTGTAACACATATAGCTTCTCACAACACAGGTGATCAAGAGGGTGGAAAACAGTTTGTAAGTTTTGTTTCGTATGTAGCTGCATGCTATCAAACTGTCGCTGCCCCTGGTTGCCTAAGAGATGACACAGTAATTGGATGTTTGCTGCATCATCCATCGTACCGGTACCACCATGGAGAGTAAGTGAATTCAGGTAATTAGTAAGTGTTGTTGCCAATACAACCATTGTTGCATAATAGGCCTTTCCGTGGAAGAATTCCAAAACGACTGAAGTGGCGTAATTGAATGCTCATTAGTGATTGCAATAACCTTCGTCGCCAGTTTGTTAATCCAAGACGAAACCAGAAAGCGGAGCTGTGTAGTAAGACAGTTATCCACGTAACGGCAAGTACCACTGTACACCAAGAAAGGAGCGCAAGGCATTCGAAGTCACATGGACACAGAGTCAAGTTACCAATCAATGGTTCCGGCGGAAGGCGAGTAGCCGTAGTACACGCACACAAATGCACGCACGCGGCGAGCGTCTGGCAAGGCGTATCAGTAACCATATCACTTTCCCACGTTTAATTACTAGTGTCGTCATTCCACGGAGCGTACATGGACTTTCTCTTAACCTACTCTATATTAACCATGTTCATCAGACATGACAGACCATTTTGTCCATTGATGGCATTAAGATTTTGTATATATGTTGAAACGACGAAAGCCAGATTAAAATGTTGCTGGTTCACAAAGACATCGGCTAGAACACGATACCTGATCTCATATATCATGTTCTGCGGATGTTCGCCTCTGCGTGAAACAACTTACAGTGATCAAGGTATACATTACTCTTAAAAGTTCAACTTCCCGGAGCGAAGTGAATAATAATTGGCACGCACAAACGTGCAATGTTTAATATATGCCATAAAATCTAATACACCTGGCTGAAATCAAACTGTTAGGATTCCCGACATTTCGCGTCCTTAAATTCTGCAGCTTTATTTATGGGAACATGCGTGTAGTTGACATAAAAGCCCTGGATCACCTGCAAACCTCATTCACTAAATCTGTGTTCAGTGAAGTGTCCACTTGTTCAATGGTACCTTGTTACCGAGTTATTCCCTACGGATCGTGATTCCTGGAACCCAAGTTGTTTTCGCAGTTCTCATGAGCAGATTCATGTGTGAAATTTAGCTGTACTGTTAAGAACTCACTGCTGCGAAATTGCATTCCATGTGGGACATTCCACGCTATTTGGAGTTCCAAAGTTACTTCTACAGGACAACGTCTAATAAGCTACGAACTAATTTGTGGCCTTCGATTAAATTAGCCCATAGGGGACAATTCCCAGTTGACATCTACCCAATAAAAATCACGTCAAATAGTCTAATGGTACATGAATAACCGTCAATAGATAAATAAGATAAAGTACGCGTGCCTTTGCATCCTTTTTATGGCAAAGTTGCCTACGGTGAGCAAGGTCAACTGCGCGACTGTGACAACGGACAACAGGATTGCTCATCTTCAATCTCACGTGGTCGGACAGGTTCAGTGTTTAATTGCCACAACAGTCGTCCCTGAAACTGATCCCACTTAGCGGTAATTGTTAGGGATCGAAATGCGTCCGGGTGGTCAGAACAGAGTGGACCTGCTCAAAATGTGACCTTATGTTCCACGTTAATTGTGGCAGAGTGCGTCAAATAGTATTAAAGAGGCTAAGCAATGCGAACAATGCGCGCCGGTTTTGCCGTGTATGCAAGTATACTCCAATGGTCAATTGTATAGCTGTTATTATGAAGAAGAGAATAAAGTATTTAATAATATTGAGCAGATGGCGAGCCTTGGTGATTTGCCATTGAAATCGAAGAAAACCATTCCTGTGTTCCAACAATCCCATTTGAGCCCCGCTCCTAGGTCCAAGAGAGTAAAGCCAGTATTTCCAATCACCCCACCGTATCTGCGGCACTTACTAAGACACACCCTAATCCTTTAATCGGGCTAGTCACGTTTGACGTCCCAATCATAGCCCAATTCATGGTAACTACACCTAAACATACAGTCCTGATACCAGGATCTTAGAACCGCAGGCAACTCGGTGCAGAGGAAAACGAGTAACCTACGCATTGCTCGCCTCGATAAGAAGACCGGGATTGAGATGGTAAGGTGCCCATTGCTTAGGGATTTTGAGCCAAAAGTCTGAAAGATGTTTGATCACTGCAGAGGCAAACTGAAGGATCGAGATTGAGCGAAGCTCAAACGCTGGCCATGGATGTAATAGGAAGGACAGTCGTTTTGCATCTGTGAGTGATTCTAACTGACTCGAGAGAAAAAATGTGTTTGCGTTCTATAAGGAATTTCTGATCGAGGCACAGACTTTCACCTTTTGATGCGCGGAGGGCCACATGACATGGTGACACAGGTGCTGAAGCTGTAAACCCCGCTCATCTTTGATGAACAATAATTGATCCCAATGCCGCATCCTCTACAAATGACAGCAAGCACTTTACCGGACAGCTGGCGGGCATGGCAAGCGGAGTGGCTGGATTTCGCTACACTGATCGAGTTCGAAAAATATCCGGGATCATATCAATTAGCGAGGTCCAGGTACTGCATCGGTGAGGATGCGGGACGGATATTAGAAACATGGAACTTTTGCGATTATGACCAGGAACAGGATCTTTCAGAAATAATCGTGCGATTTGGTGCTTATTGTGAAGGCCGATCGAACCTCTTCACGCGCTGCTGCCGAAGGTCTAAGGTTAGCTCGCATAACATTGAAAGCCGGCAAGGAATGCATGAGGCTCCAATAAATAACAGGCGAGATCGCGCAGAGCGTGAACATATTGTTGCGACATCAACAATTCAAGAACAACCAGTACCACCACTAGCTGCTCCTGGAGCCATTGTAAATTTGAAACCCGTGGTAATTTCTACTAATGGTTGGCAAGACCAACTTCGAAAGCAAATACAGCAGAAAGCAATGCATCACAAACACAGACTAAGACATACATATCCACTAGAATCTGGAGAGAAAATATATTTAAAACCGATGCGTAAATCCAAATGTCATCAGAAGAGAAGAGAGTGTCGGGAAAGAAATGAAAGCTATGGAGGGCGGTTAAAAAGGCGATACGGTGGACAGTCTTTTCACCCTGAACAAAAACCGGCACTCTAAAACAAGCCAAATAAGATCAAAGCACAACTTCGAAAGCACTCCCGCAGTGGAAGACAATACGGAAGTTGCAACACGTGAACTATGATAAAAAAGAAACAAGGAAGAAGGTGAAGGTAAAATCCTACACTTGAATGCTCATCGCTTAGCGATCGATCGAGCTTAACGATTTTTGGGCCAACAGTCTGAAAAATGTTCGACCGCTGTAGAGGTAAACTGAAGGACAGCATGCAATCGATCTGGCTCGAGATTGAACGAAACTCGAACGCTGGCCAAGGATGTAATAGGAAGGACAGTCGTTTTGCATCTGTGAGTGATTCTGATTGACTCGAGATATACAATATGTTTACGTTCTTTGAATAAGGAATTTCTGATCGAGGCACAGACTTTCGCATTTTGATGCACAGAGGGCCACATGACAGGGATGGACATACGTAGGTTGGTCATCTGTACTGAACACACTTGAGGTGAATCAACTTTCACAGTCGACTCCAGTGGAGCCTACTAAACAGCACAACTCACTACCAACAACACACAAACCGATACATTTTAGACAGAAGCGCAACGCGTTAACTCACTTGTGCACTAACGTTCAAGAGTTTAAAACTGATGCAATAAAGGGAAAGTTGTTAGATGATCGCAACCAGTGGAATTCCAGCTGCAATGCTATCGGCATTCGGCGGACCCCACTATGCTGAGACGCGTAGCATGTCACCCGACCTTAGTGCATTATGATGGACCTCGAATTCCCCGAGTAACACTGAACCCAGCAGACAAGACAAAGGCTGACCTGCTCCCATCAGTTCATCTAAGCAAATCACCGAGTGGGGTAGGCATATTAATAGATCTTCCTTGGAAAGTTCTCGCGAAGATAACGGACGACTAGTGCGGTCCTCCCAAAAGAGACAGCAAAAAGCATATTGGTTCATGGTGTTCCGCAGCTTCCGGATTCACCTAAACACGAAAGACAAACACTTGATGTCAGCAGTGATGCCATATCCGCGAAGCACTCTCGCTGAACAATGTTATCGGTTAATAGTTGAGAAGAATTTCTTTATCACCTAACTACAAGGGCTGAGGTACAAGATTAATGAAAGCGGTGCTAAACTCAGAAGAAATGGCACAAGTAACTAGCCGACATTTCGTGCCAGGTTGCCAAACAAGATCCGCCTATAGGCAACAGGCCCACGGCCACGAGTGGTGAGTAATCCAATGGAACTTCCAGTCGCAGTAAATGCATTGTCTCCACAGTCACGCGGAATGATAGACACAACAGTCTCTACTGCGCACAACAGGATAGTACGAAGCACAAGCGACATTTTGAGTTGAAACCCTAGATGATGCCATACAACTTGACTGCAATGCATAAACCCACGACTAACCAAAAAAGAATATATGTCGACCACATAATGGAAGGCTTAAAATCAAACACAAATCGGACATATAAAAATGCATTGCCAACACCCAAAGCACTATCCTGTTTGTATAGTAAAGTCCAAGATCTTCTTAATAAGTCGGTCAAAGTAAGGGGATTTACGTCTCACAAGCGTGAGACCTCATAATGATTACAGAAAACTGGTTACATTACGTGGTAATCAAAGGTGACGTAAATTTACTTGATATGCTGCTGCTTTGGAACGATACAACTGGAACGGATGCTGGTGCACTTTTTATCACAATCACAACCTCCGAGGTGATGTTATGGATCACCCGGAAATACGCTCCCCTGATTAACTTTGGTGCCGGCCATGCAAGTGAAACAAGGACAAATGTCAACTAGTCGTAGTTTACCGCCCACCAAACTCGACGTCGGAAATGGACTCTAAACTGAATCATGTATTTCAGATGGATTTGAATAGGTCATACAGCGATATTCTTATTGCTGGCGACTTTTGATGCGCACGACATGGAAAGCTAGCAAGCGATGGTGCCCATATTAAAATCTGTTTGCAAGACCTAGTTTTCAGCTATCCCCCCTAACCACGTAACCTCTCCCACAAGATTTCGAACTGTGAACCGGCCGTCGATACTGTATCTTGTGCTCATCAACGAGGTAGTCATTGTCGCTGTGAAAATTTTACACTATTAGTTGACTATAACGGTTAGGCGATTTAACCTGAAGAAAAGAATAATAAAGGTTATGCTACCACGCACACCAACGTGTCATGTACGCATTTAAAGGATGCATCTTATGTTTTTCACATAAATGCCTACCATAAGTCGTCTGGGAATCGTTCACAAGGACGGTTAGTATACTGGTAGCGCACGCCTTGAAACAATAACTCTTCCGTCATCAAAACGAAAGCAAGGCAAGGAGCAAATCAAGGAGCAGAGCAACCAAACATATAAACTTGCAGGATTTGGCATGGCAAGCTCACAAGGAGCGCCTTAATGCCGACACTTGAATAGCCCACGTGGCCCCGTGGTGTGAAATTGATCCCTGAGTTAATGAAGCAGTAAGTACGAACCCCACAGCATCCAACCGAAGACTCTGCAGACAGTAGCTGAAGGTCTAGCAGAACCAATGACCGTTTTCTATCAGCCATGTCTAGATGAGAAAAAAATTCTACCAGTAGGTAAGCGAGTAGTTATCACTCCTATTCCTAAGGTAGTCGCACTAACCCAGCAAAGTACCGTTCGAAAACTTGGCTTCGCGTGTTTTTCACACTTATGGAATCAATCATCACAGATCCGCTAATGTGGTTTCTAGAAAACCAAAGCATAAAAACCCCAGCTAAACAAGACTACGGCCAGAAAGTATACATGTAATACTAACCTGTTAATTACACGTACTAGGTGGACTGAAGCCGTTGTTGGTGGAGCACAAGTCGATGTCATATACCTGGATTTCCTAAACGTGTTTCATCGCCTATACCATCAAATTTGCCTTCACAAACTTCGGAACTATGGTACTGGTGACCAAAACCTGCGTTAGATTATCAGTTTTCTACAAGTACGTTAGTTGAAAGTGATATCCGGGAAACCCTGCCCGATAAAACTGGTGTGGTGTGGTGTACTATAAAACTTGGTACCAGGGCCTCGTCTATTCTTGGTTTTATAAACTATCTAGCGGGGGCGCTTGCTTCTGGCTATCCATTCTTCGCAGATGACAGTAAAATATGGCGAGCGATAAAAGGACCGGACAATCACAAAGAGCTCCAGTGCGATCTTTACCTGATTTCGAACTGGTCAGTTCGGATTACACTACCGTTCAATGTAAATAAATGTTGCTTTGTTCAACTACGTCACAGACATGACCAACGGTACTGGCTCGGGGCACACGGTCTGCGGACCAGCTCTCAGGAACGTGACCTTGGTGGACACATACAATTGACCACAACCATTCAAAGCAGCCTGAGGAGGCTGTGAAGAGTGGTAACCAGCAGGCTGGCCTACTGCGAAGGGCATTCGGGAGACTTGACACATCAATCTTCCCAATGATGCACAATTCGTACGTGCTTCCTAACATGGAATACGCCATCCAAGCATGGTAATATTGGTTAAAACAGGATCTAGAAGTAATAGAGGCAATACAACACTGGGAAACAAAGTATGTCAAGTGCCCAAGCAATCAATCTTACCAGCGAAGGCAGAATTTGCTGAGAGTACGTATTTAGCGGACTCTACCGAAGGCTGTTCAGTGATCCCATATTAGCGTACCAAATATTGCATTACCACACACGAGAAAACATCTCGATCTAGAAGTTCCGTGCTACCATGCAGCCTGCCTGAAATTCAAGAACCAAAGACCCACGCAAAAATCGATTAGCGGTCGACTGACTAACGGTCGGCTTAAAACTAAACACGAAGTCTTTGTTCACCCACACACTTCTAACAACAGGAACACTGTCATGTTTGGATGCTAACGCTCATGGTCTTCTAAGTAATTGGATCGCACTTAGAAAACGCCAGGAGTCAAACTACAGGATCACATTGTGATTACGGAGCCCTGTTTAAACTTTGTGATAGCAGATTCTGAAGTCAATTTGCGAGGCATGTCGCTGCTTTGAGAAAGGCAGAGCTGGTAGAGATAGTGGCGTAATTCTGTGTTACATGGCTAACCTCCGACGTGAAGTTATTGACCAACCAGAGATGTGTGCCCTAGATTCGCTTTGGTGCTGGTTATAGCTGCGGAACATAGACACATGTCTTATAGCTGTGATTTACTGTCAACCAAACTCTACGTATGAAATGGACTCCAGACTGGACCATGTTTTATCCGTTGCTTTGAGCAAACCATACAGTCGCATTCGCATCGCAAGCGACTTTAATGTGCACGACCTGGAAATAGCCGCGACCGATTGCATGTAGTCCAAGCCGGGTTTACAATAGGAATTATCCAGTTCCCCCTATACAACAACGTGACCTCTCGCACCAGATTTCGACCTGCTAACAGGCCACCGAAACGATCTTGCACTCATCAACGGATAACTCATGGTCGACGGAATAATTGCAATCACAACACTGGGTCACATTGACCGTGCGACTCTATTGTTTATTTATGTACGTTATGCGAAATATCCTGAGGATAAGGAGGATAAAGTGTATACGGTCACGAACCCCAAAGTGTTAACCGCCGTTGTTAGGGAAGTATATTAGACCTTCTTAACTGACTGCCCCTAATATATCGGCTGGGACATTTTAACAAGGATAAATGGCACACAGGCAACGCACGCGACTAAGCAGAAAACCTTCCATCATCAGAAAAGAAGTCATTTCTTAGAAGCAAAACACGAATGCATGTCCCTGAGGGGCTAAGCATGAAGAACTCACAAGGATTCCCCGAATTCCAAAACCTGGATTTCCAATGTGGTACAGCGTAGCTTCTGTGTAAGCTTGATCCGCGAGGACAAGGTGACGCATCAGCAGTTAATGAAGAGAATCTGTACGAACCGCAAACGCTTATGCAGACGTTAATGGCCTTCGTAAGGTGCAACGCGGAATATTAGCACTGGTCACGACTAACAAGTGCATGCGATCAGCAACGGAAGCAGCCGATCTCTTACGGTTCCATTGCTCGGAACAGTTCTAGTGAGTCAGGGGCTCAAAATGCATCCCTGTTTCTATGCTCCCACCTTTAGCTTAGTCACTTTTACCGCGGAAACTGGATCAAAGAAACTGTTGTCCCTACGCATTTGTGGCTCTCCTGGTGTCACTAACCTTCGACCGAGAGATTTACAGGCATCAGACATTGATCGGGCAGAATCTCTGGCTATATTAATTCAGCGCCGTATGGAGAAGAACCATATGCTAAGGATATGGAAACGAGTGGTCTTCGCTGATATTCATAACGTTACTCCCTGTGCTTTCCAAGTTCATGAAGCCTAGTATCACCGATGCACTCATGCAGTAACCGTAAAATCACAACACGATAGCAACAGAGCAAGATGGCTTCCGACAAAACGCTTATGCAATACGAACCTGCTAATCGTACCCAATAGATAAACTGAGGCAATTGATGATGGAGCAGGAGTCTATGCCATTTACATGGACTATTCAAAAGCATTTGATCGCTTAAACCACCAAATTCTCCCCATATACTTGAGTTTAATAGCATAGTTGACCTACTGCTGCGTTACATAGGCAATTTTCTGCATGTATGTCAGCTGGAAATGTACGAATATCCCTGGCTGAAGCAATTAAAGTGGAGTGCGATGTACCGCAACGCTCGATGTGTAGTCCGTGGCTATTTTTGATGTTCCTAAACGATCTGGCGAAGAAAATTACTTCGATCTCATAATCGTAGCGCATTATAACAAGTTGTGGCGAGTGCTCAGAGAACCGAACGACCACGAAAAGCTCCAACGTGCCCTTAACACGATTTTGAACTAGTCAGTTCAGCATACATTACCGTTCAATGTGGACAGTGTCACTCTGTTCAAATGAGCCATAGGCGTGTCTATGTGTTTAGGGTCGGGTCACATGTATTGCAAACAATTTCTCAAGAACGCAGC